CGTTCTTGGAGGCTCTTTACGTCGGTTGTCTTCGGCAACTCCACCTCCAGGGGTTGCCGCGCCTAGTTTCCCCGGTGAGGAGCGAGGGGTGACAGGCTTTCACGTCGGGGTCGGTGCATCGGCGAAGCTGGACGTCGGGGCGATGGCGACCGGAACTCTCGGCGGGACGTAGGCTCGGGGGACTGGGGTCGTTGCAGGTACTCGTCGATCTTCCGAGGGCGTTCACCATACCGGGGGCGCGGGTCGTTTGGGTGGAATCCGCGCAGCCCGAGTCGTCGGTATGGGCATCGGCGGTACACATGGTCGGCTTCCCCGCAGTGGTAGCAGAGCGGGCGTCGGTCGGCCGTTCGCCACACATCGGTCTTCCGGGGTACACGGGGCTCCTGGCTGGCGTACTGGGGCTGGTCGTCGCGGCGTCGGTCGTGCTGCGGCGCAGGAGACTGGCGTCGGGGCGGCGCGACATAGGCGCGAGGAGGAGGCGGTGGCCGTCGGGCCACTGCGGCGTAGGTCACGGTGGGCTCCTCGGGTGCAGCTACGTTGGCAGGAGCCTCCAGTTGAATAGCCCGCTGAACCTCGTCGCGGACAACTTCGGCTATTGACACCGAAGCCGGCTGGTGGGTAGCAGGCAGGAGCTTCTTAATTTCCTCCCGGACGACGTCCCGGATGATCTGGCGAATGCTGGAGATGCTGGAGCCAAGGTCGCAAGCGGACGGCGGAACCGCGCTGACGCCGGGTAGCCTCTGGTAGTGGCTGGCTCGGGATTGCAGTGCACGCTCAATGTTCGTCGCCTCGGTTACAAATTCTTGAATCGTAGTCGGTGGGTTGCGTACGAGGCCACCGAAAATGTCGTCCTTCACGCTGCGCATCAGGATACGCAGCTTCTTTTCCTCGGTGGACTGAGGGTCGGCGCGGCTGCTCAGGCGGAGGACGTCTTCAACGAAGCTGGTTACCGTTTCGTTGGGCCCTTGAGTTCGTACTTGAAGGAGGTCTTCCGCTCGCTGTCGTCGTGTCTGGTTCGTGAATGTCTCCTTCAGGCCAGCGATACAGGTGTCCAACGACGTAAGCGACACCTCGTGGTTCTCGAACCACTGCCTCGCGGTACCCTCCAAGGAGAAGTAGAGGTTTTGGAGGCGCTCCTCAGTGGCCCATCCATTATGGCGTGCTACACGTTCGTAGTGCAGGAGCCAGTCCTCTACGTCTTCGTGGGTCTCGCCATGGAAGGTCGTCGGGGTTCGCTGGGCAACAGGCAGGTAGACGACGGCGGCGGCGGTCGGGGATTGCGATTGCTGGTCGTCCATCGTCGGCCTCGTAGGCTGCCTGGTCCTGGGTGGCAGAAGTCCGTATTCCGGGTGTAGACCTTGGGTTCGGCGACTGGTCCGAGTTTGAGGTTCCGCGTTGAGTGGTCTTGTCACAGGGCTTGGAATCGGGCTTGCACTGCGGGCCCCGGGAGGGGAACGCTGTACGGGCATGCGGTACCCCGCACCTCCACCAAAATGTCACGGTTGGTGACCAAAAGAAAACAGGAAATAAACAGGGAGAAATAAACGTTTAATGTGGCGAACTTGTGCCGAAAATAAAGAAGGAAACAGAAGAAAGCAGAGCGTCGCGGGCGTCGAAGTCGGCGTGTCAGCAGAATCGAGCGCTAGGGCGAGACTGACTCGACAAGGTCGCGGGCGGCCTCTTATCTAGAGTGCGCCGCTATCTCGAAGATTCGGCGAAAGCGGTTCGAGCGTCGCGTGATCGGGGCGAGAATGAACACGCACTTTCTAGAAAACAAAAGCAGGGATAAATGATAGAAGTTACGTGCGGTACATGAATAAACGGGAACTTTCTGGAGGACCGTGACCGAGCGTTGTTTTCTCAGCCTTGCGCGCGGCAATATCCCGGCCGAGAGAAATCAGGCAGGCGCAAACCGGCCGCGTTTATTTCTAATTGCCCGTTTCTCTTTTGAGCAAATATCGCAAATTCCATGATCCATACCAAGGCTCGCAAACAATTTCTTATATTTATTTCTTTTTTATATTGAATCGTGAATCAGTCGCCGAACTATGTTCATGGTACCCCAGGCATTCTCCTCAAATGTGGCGGCCCTCCAGAGCTTCCACCGGGCCTACCCCGTAGACCACGACGACCACCACCCCGGTTACCGCGGTCAACCATCGATGCGTCCACATGAACTGTCCAGAACAAAAAATATGGGTCGGGTGGGCCTCCAGCCTACCATGGAAAAACCAGCAGCATATCGAAAGAGAGATGGCAGGACCGGGAGTGGCAAGAGCCGTTTCGAGGCCTCACCCCTTTGGAACGGCCTTTGCCCCCCATCTGCAGCCATGCTTGAGTTAAGTCTTCCCGCACCCACCACAGGAAAACTTAACAATCTAGTAGTCAGAGCCGCAGCTTGCATAGAAGACCAGCATGAACAGGAGGCAGCAGCTGGTAAACAACTTCAAGCAGCAGTGAACCTGATTAGAAGGGTCCAACCAGGACTGCTCCGCGAGCCACTCCCTGATGACATCGTTATGATGCCTTCAGGGAGTGGCTCCCGGAGCCAATTGACAACAAGGAACTCGGGCCGGAGAATCTGCTATTTGTACAAAAACGAGCTTCGGGTACAATTGGGGATATACCGCTTTTTACAGTGCGACATCTTTTTTCGTGAACATATGGTTTCTTAAACACGAAGCAATGCATAAATACAAATAAGTAATAAGGTTTTGTGTGAATATTGATCCGATAGAAGATTTATTCTAAACGAATGAAGCAAAAGGTGTCACAAATTAATACAGGAAAATTTTATAGTTAAACCACGTTGAAGAGAAAACTATGTACACAATTTATTGGGATTTACTGATCCAGTTCTGTGAGATCAAAACCGATTATTTAAAACATTTTACAGAAAGATTATAATTGATCATAAAAGAACTTTCCTTCTAGATGAATAAGCAAAGAGCAGACAAAAATGCTTTCTGTAATATGGAAGCATTGCTTTGTGTAATATGTGCACTTAATTTAAAATCAAGGAATTTATATTCTTAACTTCATACTGTTTAGCTTTGTGTACATTTGTTTTCTGGAAGGCATATTTTTCTTTACAAGTACCGGTATTCCGCTATAGGTGAAGGGGAATCACGTCCTTGTCAGGCTTGTGTGTCATTTTGTTATGTGCTTCAAAACAAAGAGTCTTGGATGAACTGTGTTAAATAAACGATTTAAGATTGATCAATTGCTGCTGATGCAAATCAATGCTTCAACACTTCAAAACAATTTCTTATTAGATTTACTGTTTATTGAAGTGTAATTTGATAATTACTACAAATCGAACCTTCTAAACTAGAGAAATGTTTCGCCTTATGTTAAGTAGTGAATAATTATATTTCCCAACCCTTGGCAAATAAAGTATCTCAAGATAGCCACACATAAAAATAGTGCTGTGCGAACAGTGGTTCAAATCAAATAGCGCAGCTTCATCCTTAGCTTGTGCACTGTTGAAAGAATCGGCCGTCTTGGCTTTCTCTTGCATTGTCAAAACTATGCATGACGCAGTGCTATTCTATTCGAACCACTATTCGCACAACCCTAATAAAAAAATATTATCAAACAAAAAACTCCGCAACATTGTGTTACGGCTATTGGTTATTAGACTAATGGACTTGTGTGTTGTCAACACTGTCCTTAGGACTGCGGATAGTGTACGCCGCATGCTTAATCGCTCTCTACTACTAAAAACCTTTTGCTGAGAGCACGTGTACAGCCCAGTATCTGAGAACAATTTAAACAGAATAATTGCGGCCTTATTTGTAGAAAAAAATACATGACAATACAAAACATAATTTCCGCCTATTTAATAGAGTCTCTGCCTTGGACAGCACGGTGGCTGGCTGGTGGGGTGGATTTGAGGCCCCCAGCACAAGAACAAATTTTACCACATCGGTGATTGTTTGATATCCTCCTGTGCTTCTTTATATTACTTTTTACCGAACTATTGGTTTTCACATAAAAAGATTTTGCCGCACAAGAGTCAAATGGTTGTCTGTATGAACTTATGTATCTTATTTCCGACTAGAAAGCTTCTTTATTATATTCACGATGAGGAGACGTGGAATTAACCTGCAGTCAAGGGAGATACTGCGTACGCTACTGCTGCCAATATTATGATCTTTAATTTCGCTCTAACTTTTGTCACACAAAAAATATATATTTTTTTAATGGCAGATATTTAGTGGGCGTGCACAAGCAATGGGTTTTGCTGACAAGTTAAACGCAATGTTGGGGGCACTTGAGAATATCCTTTTACCGTATAAATGTGCAGTCAAATAGGCAGCCGTACAGACTGAACGGCTCAGAATGTTCGCTTCGTTGACTGTAAAAGAAATCCACTAAAATGTTTCAGATTCTTTGATATTAATTGTACTGGATAACGATATTTTGATTTTTTTCCGTAACTTCTTTTGAAAATATATTTAAAAAAACAGAATGTTCACGAGTTTCACTCTTGAGTAACTAGTTTTACAATAGCTATCCAGGTCGTTTTTATGTTTTAGCCTAAGGAAAGGAAAGCGTTAAAAATTATTGTTAAGTGTAGTTTGGTCGTCGAAGAAAAATTTGTTTCCCTTGAGCGAGTAAAACAGATGACATATTTTTACATATTGCTTCGGTTAGGGCACTACACATCATGATAACACTTAAGCTCAGATTCCATTTTGATAACTTTATTAAAAGCAAACAAGTATAGACAAATATGCATTGTGTTAACGACTTTGCTGCTGCAGACGTCGCTATTGAAATAACGCTAAACAGAAATGCAAGGGAGTGGCAACTTTCTGTTTCCCTCGGCGCTCCGAAGTGTTTTTGACTGTTACTGGACCCTCCTCTCGTCGCGATATTATCCTATTATCCAGTCAGGCGCGCCTCTCGTGACCCAGCGTCTTTCAGTAAGACAGATAAGATAACAGGAGTGACGCACGCAACCGGATGACGTTCCCCGACCTTTATTTACACAAGGTACGTGACTTTCAAACACGACGCTGCCCTTATAAAAGCTGCCGCGATAGCGCGTCACATACATTCTCTCCGCACGAAGCAGTCGCACGATATCAACACAATGGTGAAGACAAGACTTTCAGGAATCGTCGGAGTTCTCGATTGGAGGGACCTGGAATTCATGGAAGCCATTCCGAGCTGGTGGACCTGTAAGCTGTGCGGTGCCGTTTCACGCTACACCCTCCTGCTACCTTGTTCCCACGAGTTCTGCGAAGTGTGCAACGATCAAATCACAGCCAAGGGACAGCGGTGCCCGCTCGACGGATGCGAGTATACCGTTAAAGATGTCAAACGACTCGTGGTAAACCCTGTGCAGCTTGGCGAACGGGTAGCTCGCTGCGTGAACTTCAGTCGCGGCTGCAACTTTCATGGTCCTGTGCGGAAGGTCAAGCAACATTTTCAGGATGGTTGCTCTTTCAACACGGTCACTTGCGTCAAGTGTAAACGCGAGGTGCTACACAAGGAGTACCTGGAACATTTCCTCAGCTACTGTCCAGGTTGTGTCACTCCAGCGGTCAACCCAACTTGCGAGGACTCAAACGCTTCTGTCCAAGAAACGGAACTCGCAACGCTTCAAATTTCTGATTCCAGAACAGACGCACAAGACGACATGAATTCTCTTTTGGAACGCATCGCAACGTTCACCGAGAGGGTAAAGGTACTCGAAGACACACTCTCGAGGAAAATTTGCGAAACTTTGCCAACACGCAGAAGGAGCTCCACCCACCTCATGGTGCAGGGTCGCAGTACGATCAAATCCGCCTCCTGCTGCATTGGCGGCTTCTACTGTAGAGAAACCAATGTTTCTACGAGCCATACTACTAAGGGCTACAGCCAAAGTGTCATGGTAGCTGGGTACACGCTTAAGGTGAGCAGCAATTTCCAGTTTGAAGATAACTGCACGTGGCTCTCCCTGTCCCTGATGATCTGTGAAGGTCCGTTCGATAGCTTTGTGAGCTGGCCTTTTCGGAAGAATTGCACCGTGATTCTGGTGCATCCTATTGACTCTAGAAAGAACGTCAGGCGCCCCGTCTCCACAGAACTCATGGACAACCGTTGTTATCGGTGGTTCAGAAAACCGAAACCTGGAGAAGATAACGAAGAGTTCGGACACCAGTTATTCGACTCCAAAGACGTGGCGTTCATGGGCTTTGTTGTAAACGATTCAATTTGTGTTTCCATCGAGGTAGAATAAGCTTTTAATGAATTTGATGTTTCGCATTCTGCATTACTACTATAATCAAAGAAATAATTTTAAATGTAAAATGAGCGCTTTTTTAATTATTTATTTCGTATAACGTGAAAGTGAACAATTTGTTTTTGTGATGCTTTGCGAAATTGTGGAGTCATTTTTTTAGGTATTGTATTTTGCAGTTTGTGGTATGTGTATAAAGTGCTTTGTAAAAAGTACAATTTGTCGTCAAATTTTTTATTGCATTCGAATACAACATCTTTTACTGCCTTAATATTGAACGTATAAAACTCAGAGGACAAGCGCAGGATAACCACCATCTTTAATTTAGCAAAAACGTTTATTTCGGGTAGGAAAATTCCACCCTGAACGAGATCCCTGAACGAGAACGAGATAGCCAATAAATTCGAGGTTATTTGGCCTTGTTCGAAACCCCAGGAGGCAAACTAAAATTCAAAAGGGAAGATTCATCCTTGGAAGGGCTACAATTTTTAGACATGCGATTGAAAAAAAAAAAAAAAAAAAAAAAAAAACGAAGGTGTTTTTTGGCCGATCTGGCAGCGTTCAGAAAATCCAGTGCTCCCTTTTGAGAGTGCTCGTTCCAAGCCAGTTAAAAATAGGTATCATGAAGACGTTAATCTCATCAACTAAAGCGAAATCCTTTCAGAATTCGGCAACAGAGAGCAAAAAGGACCAAACTTGACGACTCCTGCGTTCCGAATATCCGGTGGAACGCCTTGTGTTCGTTTTCCGCCAGCTTATTAACCCAAAAGTAACTAGAGAAGCGCCTTTCAGTCGAAGGATAGCCAGCATGCCATACATTCATAATGCTTCTTATGGTATTCGATCCATTGCTTCACACTATGACACGGAAGTTCTTTTCCCCAGTGGATTCAAATTAGCAAGCATGTGCAACGTGATCAACCAAAAAGAAGCATCCAAGTCAGCTTGCAAAAGAAGCACGTTACGACTTTTCCGGGCTTGCTGCTGAGAAAAAGTGTCCTCCGTCCCCCTCAAAGGCGGAGGTCAGTACATAGAAAAAACCGGCCGATGTATAAACGACCGCTTACGTGAACAGAAAAATGAAGCCACTTCAAGAACATAAAACCCCATTTATGCGATTTCGGTTCGCGCGAATGAATGCATTGGATGCGCGCCTTACTTCGCCGGAACCAAGACAAAGGGGGCACAATGCGATCGCTACAGACGTGAGATCATCAAATAATTCTTCATCTAGAACGGAGAAGACATCTTTTTATCGGCTTGAGTAATATTAGAGTTTTAGAAATAATCAGGTTGCAACTTAAAAACATCGCAACTCCCGGTAAAAACCACACCATCACTGTAGTTATGCACCTGCCGCGCAAATTCTTCCTCTCCCTTTTCATCTCCCAGTTTTCCTTCCACCTTATCACCCTATCTGAGTGAAACCTCGTTCAGGGTGCAATTTTCCTGCCCAATATAAACGCTGTTGCTCGATGGAAGAACGTTGTTGTCCTGTGCTTTCCTCCGCGTTTTATTCTTTCGATATCAAATATTCATGTTCAACTCACTCGCTTTTTCCAGCCAATATATTTGCTCTCTGTGAAAGCTGTTGTGTGAATTTAAGCCTGCCAAAATATTACTCGAATTTATTTCTGATATCGCCATATTTTTGTTTTTAATCAGACCCTCTGGTTAGTTGTGAGACGTGCGTGTAAATACTCAAGAGCTCAATTCAGCTTCTAGCACCTCAAAGAGACGGATTCGCTTTTCCAATATTAAATTATTAATCCGATGATTGCGGCGAATATTAGACACTAGCGTAATTTATTTACAGTAATATTTACTCGATATAAATTTATTAAATCAACTGTGGACATGATTATTTAGTTTTACTCTCCTTGCAACAAATATGGTACCGAAGAGAGTTTGAAATTAGTTCAATAAAACAAACTTGCCACACAACGCTTTAATGTTGATTTCTTTGAAACGCGAACATATTTCCGGGTTATTTTATGGCAAATTTGATGCAACAACAAACATTAGAAAGCTTTAGTTGCATTACCTAAATGCCTACACTATTGACTCAACTGAATATTGCACCTTATATTTCTCGCTTACTTTACTAGATTTCTTTTGAGCCAAAAGAGTAAGCCAGTTGCAAAAATGTCTTTTTAAATATACCTTTGAAACGCCTGTAACCTCTCAAGTAAAAAGTAACCAATAAGAAATATATTTGGCAAAATTTGTAAATATTATTGTATTTATGATATAGGTGTTGCTCGCTTTTCATTTGAACATATCTCAGTTTTAAATATGAGGGAGAGTTTGATACGTTCAGTCTTCACCGAGGATATACCAGGCTTGGCGGGCGGACACAAGGTGAGGGTTTAATAGCCACCGTAAGTTGACTAATTAAGTAAATTTTGCTTGTAGAGATAACTTTGGAAATGCAGTGTTGATGGCAAGTACTGCAAGAGGCTAAGCTAATTAAATTAGTTAGCGTAAAGGTAGTTGTTTTAGGTATTTATCGATCCATTTTCGCGTATTTTTTTCCGATTTTGATAATTCGCTCAGAAAGAGCGTCGCAGGCTGTGCCCCACTGACGCTTGGAATAATGGCGCCGTTATTTCTATCATGTCGTCGCTGTCTCGGCAGCCTGTTTTGGTGGGTGTGCCAAAAACAAAAGTTACCGTATAAGTGAAACAACAATATATTACTCTTCCGAGTGTCACTGTGGATGGGCTCGGTGCGCTTATTTTGAGCGTCAATTTTAAAACCAGCGAAAAAACAGCGTGAAAAATTAAGTCAAATATACTGGGTTAATCACACATTATTTGTTACACAAGCTTGCTCTGCATGGCTTCTGCCTGCACCTCTGCGCCTGGTTTTCAAACTATCTCGGTCTTCGCCGCAAATCTTTTTGTGTTTTCGGTAGCTACTCCAATGACTTTATTCCGAGTTCCGGTGTGCCGCAGGGCTCAATCCTAGGACCCATGTTATTTCTTGTGTTTATAAATGGTATTGTTTCTTGCGTTAAGGATGCCAAAATTATTTTTTATTCACTGATGACGTTAAGCTTTTCAAAAGTCTCCAGTCAGTATCTGATTGCACCAGTCTTCAAGGTGATAAAGATCCTGTCTTTAAATGGTGTACGGAAAACTGTTTGCCACTGAACCCACAAAAAACTACATCTATTGTGCTAACTAGAAAGCGCGAAAGAATTTCCTTTGCTTACACTGTTGGTGGCGTCCACATTCTCCTGTATTGTTTATCAGAGATCTTGGCGTCTGTCTTGACACCGCACTTTCTTTTAATAATCATGTTGTTACAACAGTAGATGCAGCGCTAAGAGTGTTAGGTATATGATTTCACGTTTATGTCGCCAATTTTCTGCACCTTCATGTTTACTGCATTTGTATAAGTCTTTTGTTAGATCACGGTTAGAATTTGGCTGTGTCGTTTGGAATTCACTGACTATTTCGGAAGCTATCGCGATTGAAAATGTACAGAAGCGAATGATTAGAATTATCTATGTAGGTATATTGGAAGGGGGAATTTCTACCACAACAAATCATTGCTTCACAAGTTTTTTCTAGCATAAATGGACTGTGAAAAAGACAGTACCGAGATTGTATGTTTTTACAAAAAAAGTCCATGGTGAGGTGATCTAGACGGACCCATAGAACCTTTCTGAAATTCAGTGCCATCTGGTGGTTCGTAAAGCAGTTTAGGTTTTGCCATATCAATGGCGGAAATGAACTTGTATCGGCACCGTCACTTTCGCCAGTCAACGGCACGCAAAGAAGTGTTCAGTGTGACTTCTTTCTCGATTAATTTCAGTTCTATGGTGACCAAGAACCTGCATTCAGAACAAAGCTCAAACTCACTCATATTCCTCAAGAAAATTCCATGCTCCAAAGTGCTTTAAAGCTGATTGTGTGCCACCCACAGATTGACTGAATCTAAGTTATTAGAAATAAACGCTTACGTAGCTCTTGTGTTTAATTTCTACGTCGCGTCGTACTGACCCCCGAATGTACAGGCCTCGCATTATCCGCTTAGGAGCATCTTCAATGTCTTCCTTTATCAGTCACTAGAAGGCCGCCATTGGTATGGCACAGATGCCGTTCCACAGATGATGATAGTGATCAAAGTGGCCAGACTGAATTTCGGAAAGGGTCTATTGCAGTCTATTGACTTCCATGTTCGACACCGAATCGTTAGCAACAAATCAACGTTTTACCCCTCCTCTCCATCCTCTGTGTCACCTCTTTTGAGGATTCCTAATGCATTTTAATAATGCTCCTTAGAATAACTTTGATATTTTTATTTCAAATCAAGATTCTATGCAACTATTACGCAAATGGATGCATTTGCCTTAAGCAGGCCAAGTCAGGCCTAGCCTTGGCTTTTTGTTTTTGTTTGTTTGTTTACCTTTTGTTTTGCTTGCTAAATGTCAGTTCTTTTTTTATAATTTGTATTTTTGGCTTATATGTATATTACTTCACCCATGTTTGTGCACCACGCTGAATACCTCTAGGTTGTTTGTGAGTACTGGGAAATAAAGCATTATTATTATTATTATTATTATTATTAATATTATTATTATTATATTTTTATCACTATTATTATTAATAATATTAATATTATTATTATGAATAATATTATTAATATTTTAAATTCATTACCTTTTCACGTTAAAAAATTATTCTGGTCTCTTTTTTAATTGTCGTAAATACTGCAATAGCTGCATAACCCACAAAACAATAGTTAAGATTTAATTAACAACTTTCAGTTCATTAATTAGCATAGCAGGACGATTATCCCCTTAACTAATGTCCGCCGAGCCTGATAAATACATGGTAAAGACGGCATTCGTTCAACTCAAATTCCCTTTTTTGCTGTTCGAATTAAAATCAGACACCCTGTCCATGAATCGAATAACAGCGTTTCAACCTTACGCATCAATAATTTTTTTTAAAAAGTCGATCCTGGAACTGCGGATCCAATTTTAAAGAACGAACCATAATAATTGAGGAACTAAATCTAGGTTTTGTTTTGCAATCTTAAAAAATGAAAAAAGAACAGTTCTGGGACACGGTCTAAATATATCTTGCACTAAAAAGAAAGGTTTATTGAAGCTCTGTAAATTCGTGAACACATACCGGCGTACTCTAAAACAAAACCTGCAAGGCTTATAACGAGTTTAAAGCTTTTGTCATAATATATCTAAAACATTTTTTAATGAAAAAAACAAGCTTAGTCATATTTGTTGCGTGAACACTTCATGTGACATAAAACAAAACACACAAAAAAAATCCAAATGGCGCGTACGTTTGGAACTCGCGTCTACTAACCTCGTTCTTTCTATCATAATTGTAACTTGCGGCTACGCTTACCTCGGGCTGCTCAAATGCTGTACTTAGAGTCTCGGCAGTGTGTTCCAGTCTTAAGCGGATTGAAGATGACAATAAAGCAAAAATAGAAATAATGTAAAAGACAGGGCCCTAGAGAGGTCCTAGGCGGGCCCCATTTTTCGGAG